ATATAATGTATATATACATAATATATATATATTATTATATACATATTATAATATACAGGCGTATAATGACATATCATGACATGAAGCATGCTGCAACACTCACTTTCATGAAATGTCATGATCTCTCACGCCACTGCAGTTTGTTGCGGAAAGCTGTTGACTAGATGTGACTAGTGATTGGATGTACTTAGATCATCTTAGATATGTTGCAATGCATTCACGTGCTCCAGCATGTTCCAGCATGAATATCTCCGTGCACGAGTTGAGGCGCTTGGCTGGTACCAGATCCTGTGGTTCATTGGCTTGATTGAGGGATCTGGGTTCTTCTCTGGAAAGTATGGCTTGGGCTTCATGAAGGATGCCACCATGTCTGGAACTCCGGGCGACTATGGCGTTGGATTTCCTACCTTCCTGGGCAAGGTCTCTGACCCCGCGGTGAAGAAATCCAAGTTGAATGCTGAACTTGCAAACGGACGTCTGGCAATGATGGCCATTATCGGTATGTTCTTTCAAGATGGTGTTGTGCTCAGCGTGTTGCATGTTGCATGTTCTTTGCATGTTCTTTGCATGTTCTTTGCATGTTCTTTGCGCGTTCTTGCATGTTCTTTGCATGTTCTTTGCATGTTCTTTGCATGTTCTTTGCGTGTTTCAAGTGTCGTGTGATCTTATTGTCATTGTCCTTTCGGCATTTCCAGTCAATCTCCAGCGCTTTTGGAGCTTCAACATAGGTTTTAACATGTTCGCTGCAAACCCCACGTTTGCCCGCATCGGATTCCGCATATCCTTTGACATGCTCAAATCCCTGCGTAGGGCTTGCGATTTTTTACCTTCCAAAACCTAAAACCCTAAAACCCGAAAAACCTAAACCCTAAATTAAAACCCTCAATCCGAAAAACCTAAAGTCAAAATCGCTGCGTATAGCCAGTGTTTTCATTCATCCTCTGATGACAAGTATGATGACAAGTATATGATATTGTTTGGGTGTGTTCTTTGGGTGTAGGCGAACCTGGGGTTTAGCGCCACCCTCCAGTTGAACCACTTCGGAGCATGTTGGAACATGTTGGAACATGTTGGAACATGTTGTACCGTTGCGGAGCAAATGTGTTGTAGAATGTTGTAGATATCGCGAGTTGTTTCACTGTTTGGAGAGGTTACCGAGCTTTTGTGATTCGCTGCGGTTCGCTGTGCAAGGTGCGAGTTGATGTAAGTTGTCCTGAGGTTTGACCGGATCTGCATGGGGCGATTGGGCCAACTACGCTGATTCTCCTCTCCGTGCATCCACGCAGGATGTGCTGTTCAAGGGAGGTGCTGGATCCGTTGATGGAGGAATGGGCGCCGGATCCTTTGGTGGCTCCAAGTCTACGTCTACTTCCTCTTCGTCAGCAACCGTCTCCTCCACTGACCTTGGTGTGCAGGCACCCATCGGTTACTGGGATCCCCTCGGATTGAACGCCAACGCAGATGCAGCCACATTCCGAAGACGCCGAGCAGTTGAGATCAAGCACGGCAGGGTGGCAATGTTCGCGACAATGGGCTATATCGTCCCAGAATACTACAAATTTCCAGGTGCGGTCAACTTTTTTAACTTTTGAAGAACGACATGTCAGCCTCATATTATGATATCATATGATATGATATCATATGATATGATATCACATGATATCATATGATATCATATTATGACGTATTTTGACATCGTAGTTGACTCACTGACATGACTTTACATCCAGTTTCACCATGCTTGACTTGGATTTCTGAAGTGATGCAATATTCGGGCCGTATGTTCTGAGATGTTGTGAGACATTGTGAGATGTTATGTGATGTTTTGAGATGTTGTGTAGTGTTTTGAGATGTTGTGTGGTGTTTTGAGATGTTGTGTGGTGTTGTGAGTGTGAAGCTCCAGAGTTTATACGGGTCATGCACATTCACTTCCAATGTCACAGAATGTGATAGGTTACTTGAGCCCTTCTCTGGGTCTGAAGTTCAGTGATGTGCCCGGTGGTCTTGCGGCCATCTCGAAAGTTCCAGCCTTGAGCTTAGAAAATCGAATTAATTTGGGAAAATGATGGAACATCACAAATATGTATATAATGTATATACATATATATATATATTATAATAATTATAATATAAATATATATATATAAGATACAGGCGTATAATGACATATCATGACATGAAACATGCTGCAACACTCACTTTCATGAAGTGTCATGATCTCTCACGCCACTGCAGTTTGTTGCGGAAAGCTGTTGACTAGATGTGACTAGTGATTGGATGTACTTAGATATGTTGCAATGCATTCACGTGCTCCAGCATGTTCCAGCATGAATATCTTCGTGCACTTGCCAAGTTTGCAATGATTTCGAGTTGAGGCGCTTGGCTGGTACCAGATCCTGTGGTTCATTGGCTTGATTGAGGGATCTGGATTCTTCTCCGGAAAGTATGGCTTGGGCTTCATGAAGGATGCCACCATGTCTGGAACTCCGGGCGACTATGGCGTTGGATTTCCTACCTTCCTGGGCAAGGTCTCTGACCCCGCGGTGAAGAAATCCAAGTTGAATGCTGAACTTGCAAACGGACGTCTGGCAATGATGGCCATTATCGGTATGTTCTTTCAAGATGGTGTTGTGCTCAGCGTGTTGCATGTTCTTTGCATGTTCTTTGCATGTTCTTTGCATGTTCTTTGCGTGTTTCAAGTGTCGTGTGATCTTATTGTCATTGTCCTTTCGGCATTTCCAGTCAATCTCCAGCGCTTTTGGACCTTCAAAATAGGTTTTAACCCGTTGAACCACTTCGGAGCATGTTGGAACATGTTGGAAGCATATTGTACCGTTGCGGAGCAAATGTGTTGTAGAATGTTGTAGATATCGCGAATTGTTTCACTGTGTTTGGAGAGGTTACCGAGCTTTTGTGATTCGCTGGGGTTCGCTGTGCAAGGTGCGAGTTGATGTAAGTTGTCCTGAGGTTTGACCGGATCTGCATGGGGCGATTGGGCCAACTACGCTGATTCTTGGTTGTCCTTGTTGGATATCGATGTATGATGATGTATGATATTTTCTGGAATGAGTGCGCGTTCCATCTTCACTGACAATATATATATATATACATATATATATATATCGATATTTGTATAATCAAATCTATGTGATGTGTTTCAAAATGTAGGATAATGGTGGGCCAAGTGGGTCAGGACCTGTTGCATTCTTGGTGGTGTATCTTGCTGCTTGGTGAGTGGGTTACATACTTGGTCACTCTATCAGTGGGGTATCATGTAAAGTGAATACTTTTGACCTCGCCTAGACATCGTTCAAAGAGGAACGAAAGCAACATATTGGGTAGACGGGGGGGTTCGCTTCTTGATGAGCTCCAACATGTTCATCAAAGAGTTCGTTAGGATGTAGAGAAGCGTTTTGTTCAAAAATGTGCGTTTCGCCTTGGTGGCAGGACTATTTTTTAGTGTGCATCGTTCTCCATTGATGCTAATATCATGGATTTGTGAAAGGTGTTGATCAAAGTGTACATCAAGTCAACTTACTCTTTTTTTTCAAAAATACATGTTGGAAACAACCCTTACAGGGGATCGCAGCTCTTTTTCGTTCTCAACTGCGTCCTTTTCAGTGAACCAAGTTGCATCTACATACGCCTTGCTGGGATGGATGAAATTTATCTTTGACAAACGCCATGTAGTGCACAAAGGCTTCCATGACCATTTCAATCCGCAGGTGTTCATGAATAAACAAGGCGGACAAACCATCGATGTGTGCGGAATCAAGAGGCAACCCAGACGTTATGACGTAGTAAACGTTAAAATACATGTAAGACCTTATGATGTAGTTTATAAGTACATGTAAGACGTTATGACGCAGTATATGTGAGACATGCAAGACGTTGTGACGTAGTATATGCAATACATGAGAGCGTAGTGCATGTTACAACTTAGAAAAGAAGTATTACAGGAAAAAGCAAAAAGATACGTTATTGCCCCCCCCACAACGTAGTATATGTAAGACATGAGAGCGTAGTGCATGTTACAATGTAGAAAAGAAGTACTTACAGGAAAAAACAGATAAAGACGTTATTGCCCCCCATGACGTAGTATATGTAAGACATGAGAGCGTAGTGCTGTTCAATGTGAAAAGAAGTACTTACGGAAAAAACAGATAAGATCGTTTTACCCCCCGGAGTAGTATAATGGGGGTTTAAAGAAAAACATGGAAGAACGCCGTAAAAGTGGGGGGGGGTGGCCAAAGAAAGATGGGTTTTTACAATGCAGAAAAGAAGTACTTACAGGAAAAAACAGATAAAGACGTTATTGCCCCCCCCATGACGTAGTATATGTAAGACATGAGAGCGTAGTGCATGTTACAATGTAGAAAAGAAGTACTTACAGGAAAAAACAGATAAAGACGTTATTGCCCCCCATGACGTAGTATATGTAAGACATGAGAGCGTAGTGCATGTTACAATGTAGAAAAGAAGTACGTACAGGAAAAATCAGATAAAGACGTTATTGCCCCCCCATGACGTAGTATATGTAAGACATGAGAGCGTAGTGCATGTTACAATGTAGAAAAGAAGTTCTTACAGGAAAAAACAGATAAAGACGTTATTGCCCCCCCATGACGTAGTATATGTAAGACATGAGAGCGTAGTGCATGTTACAATGCAGAAAAGAAGTACTTACAGGAAAAAACAGATAAAGACGTTATTGCCCCCCCATGACGTAGTATATGTAAGACATGAGAGCGTAGTGCATGTTACAATGTAGAAAAGAAGTACTTACAGGAAAAAACAGATAGAGACGTTATTGCCCCCCATGCCGTAGTATATGTAAGACATGAGAGCGTAGTGCATGTTACAATGTAGAAAAGAAGTACTTACAGGAAAAACAGATAAAGACGTTATTGCCCCCATGACGTAGTATATGTAAGACATGAGAGCGTAGTGCATGTTGCAATGTAGAAAAGAAGTACGTACAGGAAAAATCAGATAAAGACGTTATTGCCCCCCCATGACGTAGTATATGTAAGACATGAGAGCGTAGTGCATGTTACAATGTAGAAAAGAAGTTCTTACAGGAAAAAACAGATAAAGACGTTATTGCCCCCCCATGACGTAGTATATGTAAGACATGAGAGCGTAGTGCATGTTACAATGCAGAAAAGAAGTACTTACAGGAAAAAACAGATAAAGACGTTATTGCCCCCCCATGACGTAGTATATGTAAGACATGAGAGCGTAGTGCATGTTACAATGTAGAAAAGAAGTACTTACAGGAAAAAACAGATAGAGACGTTATTGCCCCCCATGCCGTAGTATATGTAAGACATGAGAGCGTAGTGCATGTTACAATGTAGAAAAGAAGTACTTACAGGAAAAACAGATAAAGACGTTATTGCCTTCCCATGACGTAGTATATGTAAGACATGAGAGCGTAGTGCATGTTACAATGTAGAAAAGAAGTACTTACAGGAAAAAACAGATAAAGACGTTATTGCCCCCCCATGACGTAGTATATGTAAGACATGAGAGCGTAGTGCATGTTACAATGTAGAAAAGAAGTACTTACAGGAAAAAACAGATAAAGACGTTATTGCCCCCCCATGACGTAGTATATGTAAGACATGAGAGCGTAGTGTATGTTACAATGTAGAAAAGAAGTACTTACAGGAAAAAACCGATAGAGACGTTATTGCACCCCCATGACGTAGTATATGTAAGACATGAGAGCGTAGTGCGTGTTACAATGTAGAAAAGAAGTACTTACAGGAAAAAACAGATAAAGACGTTATTGCCCCCCCATGACGTAGTATATGTAAGACTTGAGAGCGTAGTGCATGTTACAATGTAGAAAAGAAGTACTTACAGGAAGAAACAGATAAAGACGTTATTGCCCCCCCATGACGTAGTATATGTAAGACATGAAGCGTAGTGCATGTTACAATGTAGAAAAGAAGTACTTACAGGAAAAAACAGATAAAGACGTTATTGCCCCCCCATGACGTAGTATATGTAAGACATGAGAGCGTAGGTGCATGTTATAATGTGAAAAGAATAGCTTAAGAAAACAGATAAAGAGTTATTGCCCCCAATGACGTAGTATTGTAAAGACATGAGAGCGTAGTGCATGTTATAATGTAGAAAAGAAGTACTTACAGGAAAAAACAGATAAAGACGTTATTGCCACCCAATGACGTAGTATATGTAAGACATGAGAGCGTAGTGCATGTTACAATGTAGAAAAGAAGTACTTACAGGAAAAAACAGATAAAGACGTTATTGCCCCCCATGACGTAGTATATGTAAGACATGAGAGCGTAGTGCATGTTACAATGTAGAAAAGAAGTACTTACAGGAAAAAACAGATAAAGACGTTATTGCCCCCCCATGACGTAGTATATGTAAGACATGAGAGCGTAGTGCATGTTACAATGTAGAAAAGAAGTACTTACAGGAAAAAACAGATAAAGACGTTATTGCCCCCACACAACGACCAAGAGGCAACAATGAGGTCCACATGTTTGCGTGCAAAAACAAGATGAAGTTTTTGGCAACCCCCGCCGTCTACCCAACATATTGCAGGAGGTCCCGAGTGTAATATTACATTGTATTACATTGTATTACATGTTGATTGATTTGCGGAAAAGACACGTCTGAATAAGTGCCGAGATGCTACTTTGTGAGTGAGCATACGACGAATTTCAGACATATTTCCCACAGTTTGTACATTTGCGTCTGCAATAGGTTTTGCTACATTTTAGGCCTGCCGAACAAAGTGCAATACACAATAATACACATATAGAGTCAAATCTTCTAAACATGGCATATACATGGTGTTTTGAACTCTATTGCGTTGACTTGTTTGTCTTTTGAACGCGCTGCCTCCCATGCAGTTTTGGATGGCTTTTCAGTTTGCAATGACTTTCACGTCAGGGTATTTTAACATATTTTAACATATTTTAATCATCCTGCAGGTACTCTGATGTACTCTGTACATCTCTGTACTTTTTCTGGTGCGGACGCATTGCCATTTTTGGTGCAGCTCTGAGGATTCGCCTTTGCGCTGAGAGCCGACGTCGCCGACGTCGCCGACGTCGCCGACGTTGAGTCGCAGGAATTGAAGTCGGCACTGCCGGGCGCATGTCGTACAGAGATGTACAGAGCATGAGATCGCGGGATCACCATTTTCGCTGAGAGGTAGCCCAGCCATGTCCAGCCCACCGCTAGGAACCGCTCGCCTAAAGCTGGTGTAGCAGTCGTCTCACTTGATTTTCGATATTTTCGACGGTTTCTCAAAGTTTTCTCTGTGAGATCTACAGTTTTGATTTAATTATTGAGAGAACGCCAAGAACAGAACTCAGACTCAGAGACTTCAACCTAGATCAAAAGAGGCAGGTGGGACATGGAGAAAGTGCGACATACAATACTGCGACATCAAATCCGTTTGGGCGTGGGACATGGAGGAGCAAAACCCAGGGTGGTGATGATTCATGATCTGACTGGGTCAAAGCTTCAGATGCTGCGCATGGAGCAATGCTTGCAGCATTCCAGAAAACATGATTAATATTATTCAGAAATTCACTTTTCTGATGATCCTATGCAGTTTATGCCCAGTCACGGAATCTCTTTCAATGCGCTGAAACATATCTTTTAAATCCTTTTCATAAGTGTTTCAATAAGTGTTTCCTGGGTCCTTGTATTCCTTGTGACGATGCAGCCATGGCTTGTCTCGGTGGTGGTTGTGGCGATCGTCACCATGACATCTCTGTTCCTTGGGAGCTTTGACTCTTTAGAGCTGGGCTTCCCAGCTGAGGCTGTGGAGCGTAGACTGCGCAGCGTAGCGTAGACATCGGAGACAGCGATGAGTCGATGTCTGCAGCGAGGTATCAGGAGTTTGGCCTCAACTGCAATTACCTCAGCGAAAGTGTTGAGAAGGACAGATGACAGCAGTTTGTGTAGCAGTTTGTGTAGTTTGTGTCGTCAGAGCCAAGGCCTTTCGCATAATTCTCACAGTAAAACAACAAAGATCCCGTGATTCTGTGCAGAGGAGCCTTACAGTGCCGGCCGCCGGTGACTCAACGATTCGCTGATGTCAAAGATCTTTCGAATTCAAGGAATTTTCGTGACCTATTCCATTCATCAAGTATGACATAGTATGACTTTCTTTTCGCTTTTCTGCTGAGCCTTTGCATTTTGAACGACTAAGGATACTACTTGGGCATCACCAACAGCTTTATCAAGTTCCCCCGAACCGTGGTTTGGCTGCAAAGCCGGAGACTTAGAGACTTAGAGTCATTTGCAGTCGATCTCTGATCGAGGTAAAGTCCATCTCGTTTCTTGAAGATTGGACGGAGGGAAGGCAAGGGCCTGCCTTGCAAAGCCGCACGAAGGATGGTCTGACAGTTCATTTGGCTGCTTGGATTGCAAAATCTGTAGAGTGCATATTTGCTGCCAATCACAAGAAAACAACATAACATAATTATGTTTGAAAATATATAGATTGTTGATGATTGTTGATGATGTTGACTGATATGGCACCTGATACTTGCACCGGTGCCTGGTGGCTGAGGAAGTCTCATTTCAGTACCAGTTGATGTTTGACCAGCTGTACACCTTGCCGCAGACCTGGAGTCACATCATCCCACTTGGTTTGGGCATGGACTATTCATGACTATGATTATATAATATTATATAACATATGACTCTTATGTTTACTGTAGCCTAGAACTGGGGTAAAAAGAGGGTGTCAATTGCAGTACTTTCTTTGGCAACACTCAGGTGGTCTACACTTGGGGAAGACTATGAGAAGACCTTCGTACGAATGGCCATTGAGCAGTTGTCAACAGCAACCACGCATCACAATGCCCATTTTTTCTTCAGGACAGGGTGGATCAACTGTGGTCACAGTCTGGAGAGTTACACCTTAGAGTGACACCTTCACAGTCTTCATTTTCGGCCTTGCACCTTTCGGCCAGGAATCGAACCTTCGTCAGTAAGGAGATGCATCGGAAACTCGACGAGCCTTGAGCGGCAGGAAGTTGTGCCCAGCCACTGTCACAGCTGTCACAGCTGTCACAGCTGTCACAGCCACAGTCAGCCACTTCACTGTCTTCAGATTTTAAAGTGTCTCCACCAAGGAGCACTTCAAGCAGCATGCCTTTGCAGAGGCGCTGGATGGA